GGCACCCTTTTATTTTTTGTCATTTTCGTCGTTTCCTTGCGTCAGGCACTTCCAGCCTACCGCCCTAAAGTAGTTGCACCCCTCGGCATCTGCCAACAGTTTGAATGCATCTGGATGAAATACAGTCCAGTTGCATTTTTCTAAATGTTTGCGGATGGCGAGTAGTGCGACTACCGTAGTCCGCGAACATTTAGAATGCTTCTGGACGTTAATTCGTCCAGATGCATTCGAACTGTTGGTAGATGGCGAGTACGTTAGTAGATGATTGATGCCACCTATATTGTGGGGCTCGCCGCACCACACGCACCAAACGCCAAACTTTTGAATGTATCCGGACGACAGAGTGGTCCAGACACATTCAGAATGCTGACGTCTGTCTGGAGAGCAGTGCGGCGAGGGCGTTTGGCGGGTAGTGCAGCGACGGCGTCATAGCTTTTGTAACGACGTATATGGGCCTCGCCACACCACTCTCGAAATGCGCAAAATGCGAATGAACTTCCTGCTAGAACATGGCCAGATGCACCCGCCACATTTTTGTCTTTTTCACATTCCGAGAGTGGTGTGGCGAGGCCCTATCAGTATGAGAGCGTAGGGGCATCCAGGGGCTAGGTCCCACTGGCACGAATGAAGAGACACTGGCCGTAGATAGCAAAGATCAACGGCCGAAATCTCCTAATTTGCGCAAGTGGGACCTTGCCCCAGGTACATGACGTCATCGACTGGAGCACCACAGTCGCACGCCTTGGCGGCCCCACAGGTGTAGGATTTGAATCTGAACCCAGGGGCCTCGCTGCACTACTCTCCACTGTTAGACCACGCCCTGCGTGGTGGCGCAGCCTGGGGCGTGGGGGCAGATGTTGTGGACGCGGGAGCAATTGCGTGCGGCAACAGTGCCGTCACACAGCATTGGCTGGCTGAAGTGGTTGACCCTTTTTCTTTCCAGGCTGGGAGTCTAAGTTGTAAAAGTAACCTATACAGCATTCTTCGGAGGCCCGCGGAGGTTGGGTGCTACTGGACCACAAAGGCAGGCGGTGCCAGCAAAAAGAAACGCTTTGGCCTCCCATCTATCCATAATAGGCTAGAACCTCCAAATCAAAACTGCAGAAAGCGGCCTCTTATGGCCGCCCACATGAGACGAAATTCAACAAGACTCCTGAATTTTTGGTGCTAACTTGCTTTTGGTCTTCACAGTATTTTGATAAAGCAATCTGGCTGCTGTTGCAGCCCCTTTAATTGTGCTTCAAGGTTAATTTTGGAAAGCTGATAGCTTCAGGATGGGAGGCTGGACCCGGTTTCCAGCAGTGGGATTGTTAGTCTTTGAATAGTTTTTGGTTGAGCTGAGCTTGTAAGCTAAACTGGCTGAGACTGCCAGGACCACTCCGGGTCGAACTGTGAGGTCCCTGGCCTCGTTCCATTTTTGGCAATATATGAATGAAGCTTTCCACATAGACGATTGCGAAAGCGGAGAGCAAAGAGGGGGGACGCGGAACCTAGGAAGTGTGTCGTGCAGGGGGTGCATCTTTCCATGTTCTAACGGAAGATTCAGCGCCACACTTCTTTTTGTCTTTTGCATTTGGTGCATGGTCCACCCTCCACAGATCGCCTTGATCCGCCATTCACTGAGGGCCTCTCTCCACTACTCTCCAAATGTGTTTGTGGAGATGTGCRGTTGAGGAAACTCCACGCGATTTCTCCACGTTGCCCACAAACACGTCCAGATTCAGGCGTTGGCGAAAGTCAACGCTGCTAGACTAAGTGGGACTTGGGCCCTGGTCAGGGATCTGCCTGGCCGGAGTGCCTTGCTCATCCCACCGACTGCGGGCACTGATGTAAAGGACGCCCGCCCCGTCTCCCATCCCATCATACATTGACATTGAATGCCAGTTCGAAATAGGAAAAACAAAATAAGAAAAGAAGAAGACCACGGCTGACACTGTAAAACATAGCTCACCTTGACGGCAGTATACCTTTCTTTTTCTTTTCTTTTTTTTTAAAAAAGAAAGACAGTATACCTTCCTGGGCTAAGATTAGGGGAGCAGTGGCTGAGGCTCTTCCAGCCCTAATGGGAAGAGGCGTGTGGTTAAATGTTGTAATCAAATCCATAATTGGAGCCTTGGGCACTGGGCCCATTTTTATCCGGAAAAAAAAAAAAAAAAAAAAAAAAAAAAAAAAAAGGCGAAAGAATCTTTTTTTTGGGGGGTAACTTCGGCGCAGTCACGAAAACAGTTTGTAATTGCACTTCAGGCAATTCCACAAATACAACACACCCCCACGCGACCCCACCGGACCCGAAACGTAGGTCATATACATTCAGCATTACTGGCCCTTTTGCCTCAAGTGCAATTACAAACTCAAACCCTGACTGCGCCGTAGTTTTCTCTTTTTTTTTTTTTTTTGGAAAAGCGAAACAATCAGTCAGCAGATACTGAGCTTATCCAGCTGCCACGACCGTCTTCCCACGAACACCACGCACGCTTCCCTTGACTGCA